GCTTTGCAAGCTGAGGATGCTCTGAGTACACTATTTCGTTTAGTCCAACCCTCCGTAGTGGACATCATTGTCCCTGGAGGAAATGGAAGCTCCAGAGGTGAGAGGAAGGAGTGAGCAAGTAGAGAGTTTGGCTCAAGCCGGATTGCCCGACTTCTGCGCCTGCCTTTCGTCCACTTGTCCCGTAACTCAGGAAGTGCTGGGGAAGTACATAGCTGATTCCATCTGAGCTTCCTTCTGTCTGGTTTTGGTCTTCAGAAAGTTCTGTTTTAAGACCAAGCTATTAAATCAAGGTCAGTGGCAAGGGGTTGGGGGGTCGGTCCTGTTCTTGGGTTTAATGTGCTGCAGTTTTTGAAGTTCTTAATAATGCTCGTGCACAGGCTCTCACATTTTCCTTTTGCAGTGGACCCTGCAAAGGTATGGATATCCAGACTTTGGTAGAGTGTTGCCTTTCTCGGTCTTTCTCAGCCGCTCTGGCCGCTCTGGCCTGCTACCTGGTACAGTGAGCTGTGGTTGTTTACCAGCTGTCTCTTCCCAGACTGCCACTGCACCCCTTGCTGGCAAGGACCCCAACTGCAACTCACTGTTACCTCCGTGTCCCCTCAGCAGGTGTCCAAGCAAACAGTGTCCTGGGAACAAGGGCTTCATTATGAGCAGCAGACCCACATGCAGTGCTGGGTCAGATGAAGCCCACCTGCCTCCCAAGGGGCTTATGCTTGTCGGGGAAGGAGAGACAGAGGACACAGAACATACCCTGAAAAAAACTTTGTTGTTTATGAAAAGTGGAATTGGTTCTGTGTTAAGCCATTTTCACTGTAACTTTCACAATGGTTTCACTCTCTGGCTGCCCAGCACCGAGCGCTATGCCTGGCACAGTAAGCAGGGCATTTGTTAAGCAGTTGCTCCAATGTTGGCTCCCCACTAGGCTGATTATGGAGAAGGACAGTCCCTGACCTCCAGGAGGATTGGATGCTTAATACACTACTAAATGGTTCATATGACAGCTGCCCTCAGCGCCCGGGATGCTCGGAGCTGGTGCAGGGCAGGCTTCCTGGAAGGGGGACATGAACTAGGTCTGCGCACAAGGGTCAGCGGTGGGGAGCAATGAGATTGGAGGCAGTGGGGGCAGGGGGAGAGTGGAGGCCTGGTCCGGGCTGGAGTTTGCACTTTGGGTGAAATGGCTGTCATCACACCCTTGCTCAGAGCTGGAGGCTGAGGCCTCAAGGGTAGAGAGCCAGGGTCGCCCAGCCCAGCCAGTTCCTTGGTCTCCAGGTCATGGCTTACTTCTGCTGGTCCAGTGCCCTCACTGCCCCAGAGACACATTTGGAGACAGATGCAGACTTGAGAGTGTCTTAGGTGACCATGGCCAGGACTGCAGTTTGGGAAATAGAGGGGACTGGCTAAATTTAACAGTTTTAGTGATGACAAGATTTCGGTTTGGATACAAGCAGTGGGTTGTTCCTTAGAGTAATGATGTGCGCGTGTTTGTCTCAGCTGGCTCAGCTCCTGCTCCTGAGAAAACGCTGCTGTGTCCTTGCTTTGGGGACATGTTTTTTCAGGAAATGCTGCTGCAGCGGGCAGTCTGCTTTCTGGGTACCCTCCCTGCCTTCCACTGCCCTCTTGGGGTCTGAACATGACTGTGAGAGCTCTGGGGTGTTAACACCAAGAAATGAAACTGTGTCCAGGGCTGTTCGAAAGTTTCCTGGTACCAGCAGAGTAATTCCCGTTGTTGGACTAAAGAGAAAAACCACATTTGGATATTTTTAAACGGCCAGTGAAACTGGGAGAGAGTCTAAACCCAAAGTACAAATTTTCAGTTTAATTTTAACTTTGCACTTAGCTCACACCTAGATTTGGCAGGGGGAAATGGGCCTTCATTTTTTTATTTCCTTTTTTAAGCAGAACACACCCTGGATACAAAACCCTTCTTTTGCACGGAAGGGCTTAGAGCAGTGGCCACCACGGGCAGTTGGGAGTTCGAGTTGCGGGGCAGGTCAGTCAGAGGGCTTGATGTATGTTTACCTGCCCTGGAGCACTGAGAAAGTGTGCCCTTTCTTGGAGGCAGGTAGAGGCAAGGGTGGATGGCCTGACTTCCAGACTCACTGTTAGGCTAGCATTTTGTTTTTTCCTGTTCGGTTGTCTCAGACACCCCTGGGAACTCACCCGCCATGCCTGATATGATATCCCACAAAGGAACTGTAGGTTTTCTCTGAGGGGCTCTTGGGCGCTCTCAGCAGCTTCAGGGTGGAAGCCTTGACCTCTCCCTCATCTTGATCTCCAGACTGTGTTAAAACCCTGAAAACCTAGCCAGGAAGGAAATGCAAAAGCCACGGAGATCCTTGAGGCCCTCCGGACCTGACCTGTAGCAGCCAGGCCTGCCCAGCAATGGGACGTCCTCTTGCTGCTGGGCAAGAGTGGCGTCATAGGCCCCTTGGCCTCCTACAGTTCCTTGCTCCATGACTACAACCTCATGTGTGGACAGGGTTAAGTTCTGTGCTTTGGTTACTGAGGAAGTGTGACCAGGGTGGGGACCGCTGGGAGTGGCCCCTAGCCTGGAACAGTTGGAAGAGGAGCTATCAGGAGACAGTGGCAGTGGCGGGAACTAGAAGCTTTGAGGTGATGGGGGTCTGGCACAGGATGTGGGGACATCAGGCTTAGAGTTTGGGAGTGAGAGAAACTGTCAGGAGCCGACATTCTTGTCTTTCAGCTGACACTGGCCACCTTGGCCCAGCAGACACCCTCTTCTTTTCGTGTCCTGGGTTTGGATGGTTAATTCTTTTGTGACTGCAGAATGGGAAAATCCAGAGGGTCTGGAGGCATGAAATGGGCGATGCAAGTGAAACACTTGGAGGGCATGAGGGGGATATGATGGCCATTATTATTGGGAGCATTCGTGGTGGCTTGCTAAGTGGCCCTGGGGGCAGTGGCCACCAATTTGGGTATGGGCCAGAAGCTGGCACTGGAATGTGTGTGTAGAATTCCTAGATGGCATTGTGACTCCCGGAAAGAGGCCCACTTCTGGAACGAATTCCCCGGACTCCCAGCACTGTCTCTCCTCTTCCTTGCTCTCCCCTTCCCTATCGCCACCCCCTGTCTTTGAGGCTTAGTGAGGATAAGACCGGCCTAGAAAAACCACATGTCTGAAGTCTTTGAGGGTGGAGTAGAGCCCCTTCTCATATTTTGTTGGGGGTTCTTGAAGACTGTTCTCAAACAATACTGAGTCTTTTGCCTTGGGCTCAACAGCCAGTGAAGGTGGTTCTCCCCAGGTGCAATTGACCTCCCCAGTTACTCTGGGCCCCCAGGCCTGGTTTCGTAGCTTTATGCTGCTTTTGTATGTGAGCGCAGTGACCTTGAGGAGGTAACTTCACCTGGACATCTGACCTTCCAGAGAAGGCCTAGGGGGCCGGAAAGGAGGGGCACCTGGAAGACCATGGCAAGTCAGTCATCCTGGGCCCTGCAGGAAGAAGAGAGGCAAATAGGCCGGCTAGAGGGTAGGTGGGCAAGAACAGCCTTGGACAGGGACTCGCCAAAAGGCCGTCCACTTAGCCAGGAGGAGAAAAGTCTCTGAGGGCAATGTGGGGCTGCTGTTGAGGACAGTCCTGTGCTTCGTGACTCCCGACTGAGAAATCAGAACCTGTGCCTGGAAGTGCCTGGAAGCAGCACACCCAGAGATGTTAGTAAGTGTCCCGAAGGTTGCAGGTGAGGATGCTGTCAGGCACCAGGTGCAGGCAGTCATCCGCAGGAGGCCATGGGGTGACCAGACTGCGGGGGCAGGAGTGGCTAACCAGGCATCCACCTGAGGGCGAGCGCCTGGCCTCCTCAGCTGACACTCCGCGTCATTCCAGGCCCGAGACGTGGCCGCTCTTCCTCCGCCTCAGCCTGCCAACTGTAGTGAGCTTGGAGCTTTTAACAGTCTGTGAGAGGGTAGCTTTTGATCAGTTCTTTCTGCCACCTTAGAAATAAAGGATGTAGGACCCAGGTTTGGGGTAAAAAGAGAATAGAGGAGACTCTTAAGAACTCCATAGTGCAGCACTGCCAGCGTTGGGGGGCTTTTGGTTGGGGCCGGTAGGGCCGGTGGTGCCTCCCAAAATAGACTTTCAGACTTCACCCAGTTCAGCATATCATTACGGCCCATCCTAGCTTGGATTTCTGCTCTCTCCACATCCACTCAGCACCCTGAAGAACAGTCTAGAGCCACCATGCTATCCAGTGTGCTAACTACATGTGTCTTTACCTTCAAATTAAATAAAACTAAAACTCACTCCTCGCTCTTATCAGCCACATTGCTGGTGCACCATGGCTGCACGTGGCTAGTGGCCTCTCTGGAACAGTGCAGAAGGTTTTTATTGCCACAGAAAGTTCTAGTGGACTGTGAGTGTCTAGCACGCCTATTCTGGGGGCCTGGCAGTGGGGCAGGCCAAGCGGGTTGCCATGGTGACGATGCCGTCTGGAGTGGGTGAGAGCAAGTGTAACCATATATCTCAGCGCCTGTCGGCACACCGAGGGTCACGGTCACGCAGGGCTGAAAGGTGGGGCTGTGGGTGGGGCTCAAGCTGGCCGCTGAAGGCTGGTCAGGCTGGGGCCGTCATGGGCACTGGGAGGAGGGGATCTGATGTTCGGCAGGGTCCAGAGGCTCCTAAAAGTTATAGCTGGAGATTGTGTGGCATTTTATTTTGTAATGAAACTTTGGAAGAATGTGGCAGTACAGTTGAAATGAGACCCCCATTCCTTGCCAGTCGCAGCAGGGCTTGCTGAGTTAGTCTTCTCCCGGCTGGAACGGCCACAGGTGTTGCTGCTCTGCTCAACCCAGCTGCACCCTTAGAATTGCAAAAGGCAGAGACAGACCAGAGTGGGTGCTGCCAGTGCCGTGGTCCAGAAGAACCAGCAGAATGATGGCATTCATGTATGGTGGGCTCTTCCTGGCTGTCCCCCAGACCCTCTTCTACCTCGGCACCCTCAGCCTCCACTCCTGGCTTCCATTCACATGGTCCTTCCCTTTGCAGGTGAAAGAGCTTGTCCTGGACAACTGTCGGTCGAATGAAGGCAAAATTGAAGGCCTCACAGATGAATTTGAAGAACTGGAGTTTTTAAGTACAATCAATGTAGGCCTCATCTCAGTCGCAAACTTACCAAAGTTGAACAAACTTAAAAAGGTAAATAAATAGAGTAGGAACAGGTGTGTGGGGGGAGGGCGGGCGAGGAAGGGAGTTTATTGCTTTGTGTTTGGGGAGCCAGACTGGTGGAAGTGAAGCCAGGTGCCCACACCAACATTCCTGCCTGTTCCCTGAGCTGATATGCTCCTCCCACCTGTCTCGAGAGGGCCCAGAGCCTTCATTTTAAGAGCCGTTTCTGCTTCTTCTCTCCTTGCCCTGTTTAGCTTGAACTAAGCGATAACAGAATCTCAGGGGGCCTGGAAGTATTGGCAGAAAAGTGTCCGAACCTCACGCATCTAAATTTAAGTGGCAACAAAATTAAAGACCTCAGCACAATAGAGCCACTGGTGAGTCATTTGGGTCCTCCCCTCTCCGCTGGGCGGGGGTGGGAGGGGTTGGTATCAGGAAATACTACTTTTGCGTTTTTTCACTTATCTGACTTTATTTGACTCTCATTATGTGCTATGAGGTAGAGTTGGAGCCGCTATTTCTGCTTCGTCCATCGAGAAACTGAGGCCTAGAGAAGTTCAATAGCTTGACCAAGGCCACACAGCCAGAATGGGCAGTCGGGGTAGGTGAGGTAGGACCCTGGTCTCAATTTCTAGTCTAGCGCTTTTCTTCTTTGGGTTTCTGCTCAGCGTTGGAAATCTGAGCTGTCCTTTCTCCAGGCTTAGAGCATGGCTTGCTGCCCCTCTCTGGGGAGGGAGGAGCCATCTGTAACCAACCCTGGAAGTATATATTTCTTTTCTCTTTGGTCACTGGCCTGACCTGGGGCCTGGGATGGCAGAGAGCTGTGTGGTCCAGGAGCCTCGTCCAGGCCTTCCCCTCTGGGGCATAGAGGGTGGCATCGGTCACCTCTAGTTTTGGTGTGATGGTGACCAGTACCTCCGAGGCCTGGCCAGCATTTTGGCTCCTTTGCTGGTCCTCACAGAGCGGTAGACACCCCAGACGCCACAGACACACTGGCCAGAAAGGGGAATGTCACTGTCAGAATAGCAATTCCTACCTTTTACCACACTAAATAAACATGTGTTCTGTTAAACCCGTGATGCACATAAGTATCCCTGCAGAAAGCCATGCACCCTAACGTCAGGGAAAGACCACAAGAATACTTTGCCAAGTTTGCTGCATTTCCCTTTTCGGGGTATGTAGAGTGCAGGTTGGGACATCCCTCAGTTTGGGTTTGGAGGGTTCTTGTCCAAAGAGCATTCTCGCCCTCCATGGATGCTTTTGGGGTGTGTGTAAGGTGGGGACAGGGGAACTGGCTGATAGGGCCAGGGTGGCAGAGTAGGAAGTTGGCATTTCTTTTCCAAGCTCAGACCATACCTGTCCATCTGTGGTATGGGGTCAACTACTAGAATATACTTCCTGTGCACCTTCTCTCCCGGTTCCCTCCCCGCCACAACCATTGACATTCCAAGGGAAAGCAAGACTATCAACCTGGAAATCTTGATTTCATTCAAAAAGAAAAAAACCTTTTGCAGTTTTGTATATGTTTGGAAGGTAAGATGTGAGGGCCCAGTATATAAAATTTTACTGTGATTTTTGTCACAGTAGAGATTGGACCCCTCCCTCCCCACACACACACATTTCACTCACTTGCTCCCTGCCCACACCACATATGTTTCTGTACTTCCCTTACCTTAGGCGTGCCACCCTTCACTTCCTGGGCCTCAGTTTCCTCAGCCGCCAATCAGGCATCACATGGGCTAGGAGCTGCCTGGCATAATGCTTTCAACAGAGTGTGTTGTGTTGAGGAGCATGGACAAGGTCTGGATCCCCTGTGGGTGGGTCTTTGCTTGCCCTTTTCGATGGGCAGTATTCCAGAGAGTAAGAGCACAGGTCTGAGGCTGGGGGCCTGATCAAATCCCAGTTCTCTGCCCTTCATTTCCTCGCTGTAAGGTGCACATTGTTTCCACCTTATTGAGATTGTGAGGATAAATTGTGAGTTTGTATGTAAAAATACCACATGAAGTGCCATCGTCATTGTTATTTTTATCATTATTATTAGATGCACAAACGAGGGAGCTAGTTTGTGAGTTCATGTTGCCTTTTTAGTTCCCCTCTGGCTTCGGGACAGCCAGGTTCATTTCAAGCCAGTCACTGTTTTGGCAAACCAAAAGCTGTAATAGCAGAGTGTTAGCACTGAATGAGGCTTAAAGATCCTCAGGGCCAGTCCCCACCAACCCCCACTTTCCAGGTGAAGAAACCGAGGCCCACCTGCTGGGCTGACCTGCCGCAGACTCACTTGGCTGAGCAGAGCCAAATCCAAGCTCCCTTGAGCTCGCCAGGCTGTCTACAGACTGTCTCACTTGCCCCCACCTGTCTCCCAGGTTGTTTCCTTACGTCACCCCTCCCCCGCCCCGCCCTCACATCACTCACCGTTGATTCCATTTTCTGCTTGCAGAAAAAGTTAGAAAACCTCAAGAGCTTAGACCTTTTCAACTGCGAGGTGACCAACCTGAATGACTACCGAGAAAACGTGTTCGAGCTCCTCCCACAACTCACATATCTCGATGGCTTCGACCAGGACGACAAGGAAGCCCCCGACTCTGATGCCGAGGCCTACTTGGAGGGCCTAGATGACGATGAGGAGGAGGAGGATGAAGATGGTGGGTGGTGGAGGGGACAGGCCAGGGCTTGGGGCCCACCTGAGACATCCCCACCTGGGGCTCCCCGCTGTTTTACCGAGTGGGTAGATTGGGTGGTGGAGGCCCCTCCTAGCCACAGACAGCTAGTGGCTCTTTCCAAAACCACAGAGGAGAGCAGCGGCTGTCTGCTTTGTTGGCTGTTGTCCCTGTCACTAATCGGTCCTATTGGTTGATTTCCCCTAGCAAAACTGTGTGTGCGCCCCAGAGAAACACTGAGTTTCTCCAGCGGCCTAGTAACTCCCTCAAAACCATCTGGCTCAATCCCCACTTCAATTTTTTTTCACCCCTTTCAAAAGTCCCATAGGGGATGGGATTCTAGTGTATCTCTGGACTCAACACTCTGCCAGGGAGGGAGGGAGCAGATAGAGGAAAGTGGGGTGTGGCCTGAGGACCCCCTTTCCCCATCTAGGTGCCCAGTAGTGGAGACCAGGTCATGAGCTGGAGAGGTTGTGAGGCCCCCTGGTGGCTGCAGCGCACAGGACCACAGGCCAGGACTTGCGGGTGTGGACTCTGGAGCCCCAGAAGCCTGGGAAGTGGAGGAGGCTCGGGCAGAGCTGCTCCCGGCAGTTTGGAAAGCAGTCAGGGCCCACCAGAAGGAAAGAAGAAGAAAGGAGCGCTTCCTGCAGCCCCTGCTAACCTCCCGTGCTGCCGGTGCAGGTGGCTTCCTGTAGGTCTTCATGGCCAGAACAAATGAAAATGGAAACACTTGCCTAATTAATTTGGACACAGTTGTTTCCCTTCTTAGGTGTGAGTGTTTTACAAGATCTTGACTTACCCGGTTTGCCTTAGTTGGCTGCATCTTGTGATGCAACACAGAGGGCCTGGACCATGTTTCCAGCCCAGCTGTGCCACGAGTTCAACATGTGACCTTGAACAAGCCACTTCTCCCCTCTGCCTCAGATTTCTCGCCTCCCAAGTGAACTGACGTTTTGTTTCCCCGGGCCCTGTCGTGTATTTCCCTTGGTCTCAGCCTCTACAAGGGAGCTCCCCTTTTTGTAGAACTTGCGGAGGACTTGTCTTGCAAGTCACTTAGGATGTGCTCAGTCGCACTGGCGCGTTTGGGCTTTGGACCTGGGTGGGCGTGGGAGGCTGCTGGTCCCCACCCAGAAGACTGCCAGCCCGCTAGCCTGGGACCTGGTGCTATGTGAGGGAAGAGCCAGCTCACCACCGGTTTTGTTCTTGTCCCCACTTTACTGCACAGAAGAAGAGTACTATGAGGATGCTCAGTTAGTGGAAGATGAGGAGGACGAGGAAGAAGAGGAGGAGGAGGAGGAGGAAGGTGAAGAGGAGGATGTGAGTGGAGAGGAGGAGGTAAGAGGCTGTACTGGGCAGGGGACCCATCTCCCCGAGTCCCCCTTACTTGCTATTACTTGCTGAGTCAGTTCCACTAAGTTCCTCAGTTAGCCAGGAAACCCTGGTTGGGAATGAGTCAACTGTAAGGTCTTTAACTGGGTTGATTTAAAGAAGGCAAGACTTGTAGCCTGCCCTGGGTAGGGAAGAGAAGGATTCTGGAGGCACCAACTGACGTAATGAAGCCGGCCCTTACTTTCATGTGAAAAAGAACCCATACTGTGTGCCAGGGAAAATTGAAGGTAGTTGGATCAAAAACTGCTGGACCCCAAATCATAGAATGACAAGAGTCCCCTGGAAACTGTCATCATTCCAGTACAAGGGCTAGTTCCCAGTCTTCTAACAGGAACTGTGCCTTGTCAGAGAGGACGATAGGCCAGAGACTAAGAGCACTGTCTGTGAGGCGCTGCCCCCAGCTCTGCCACTTGCTGTGTGTCCTGGACAACTTCTTTGACCTTTCTGAACCTTTTTCTTCATCAGTCAAATAGGGGTCATTTTACAATTGGTTTGTAATTAGGGATCAGTTCACTGGATTACTAAGAGGACAATGTAATTTGCAAGTAAAATGCTTAAGGGCAGTGTGTAGCAGAGTGCTTGACCACCGCCTAGGCTTTCACACCCTGGCACTGTGCGCGACTAGCTTTCACGTTTGGATTTTCTGGCACTGAAGCAGAGCTCCTTGCTGTCATCTATTCAGAGTTCCCTATCAAGTCTTACCAATGCAACAAGATAGAGCTGGATAGGTTTAGACATGGTTATCAAGCTAGCATGAATAGGGTACCTGCCTTCTTGCCCAGTTGGCTGTCCCCATCAGTGAAAGGCACAGATACCTGCCTGCCCTGGGGACTGCAGTGGCAGGATGTCCCACCCCAGGCTTAGGAGAAGCAGGTCGAGGCGAAGAGAGGTCAGCGACATAGGCTTGGTACTGTCTGTTCTGCTGGGTGTCATCTCCCTGGGTGGAGGATGCTCCACTCGTCCCTGGAGCACTGCAGGTATTTTAAATGGGTCCCACTTGGATGGGGCAAGTGTTAGCTAATGGACTTCTCATCTTGCTCTTCCTGTCACAAGAGCTGCGGTGTGTAGGTAGGGACTTTTTAATTTTTTTTTTTCTTGTTTCATTGATCATCTGCAGATTTCCAACTTCCAGTAAAGGAGGGGTTATACACACACACAAAATAGTCTTAGCAAACAGACTGATTAAGGGACTATTTGGTGACATTATAAAAGGCTATTTCCCTAGACAAAAAGAACTTAGTTCATCATCAAGTTCTTTTTAAACACTGGGCTGCGTAATGCTTCAGAAACAGTGTTGGGCATACAGAGATTTTGTTCTGTGGGACTTCAGCAGTATGGAGTAAGGTCCTGAGTCGGGAAGTCACATGCCTTGCTGAATCACAAGTCCCTGGGCATGAAGTTCTCCAAGGACCTTGAATTTACCCTCCCCTCCCTTCTGTTCCCCTCCAAGTGGTCCAAGGTTTGCAGGATGGTGAAGAAACTGGATTGGGTAAATTTGAACTTGCTCAGTCTCTGGATTTACAGAAATGAATCTTTCCTAAAAGCCAAAACTAGATTGAGGTCAGATGAAAGAGCACCCTACTTAGTAGCAGTGGGTTAGTTGGGGGAACTTGTCCTCTTAAGAGAGTGTGCCAGCTGGAAAGCTGCCTAAGTTTTGGGGACTTGATGTCAGGAACCCTTAACATAAGGGTAGAATTCACAACCCCCGGCATCATTTGAGAATATGGTATGTGATATTGGTATTTGGGTGGGGGGTGTTCTGCAGACCTTTTTTTAAAGGATATTTGATCCAGAAGAAGCTCTGCTTTAGATTCATCCCGAATATCAGGGGCTGGGGCACACCTCCGCCTCTAAACTGGGGAAGTAGATTCCTTAGCATGTGCCGAGCCTGGCGCCATTTCTAATGCCAGGTGTCCATCTTCTCTCCTAGGAGGATGACGAAGACTATAACTACGGGGAAATAGAGGACGAGGACTATGAAGAAGAAGGTGGTGGTATGGCAACTTTCTGTTCCCCGCCAGCTGTAGGCCCCTCAGGAGGCCGTGGGCCCCTCCTGGCTTTAGCAGTCCCCAGCCTCAGTTTGCCTGGGTTGACAAGCTTCCTAGCAGTGCGATCCGCCGGTTTCCCAGCGGGCTGAGTTAGAGGCAGGATCACCGTTTAATTTGAATGTCTTTTCCTTCCTCTTCCAGAAGAAGAAAGGGGTCAAAAGCGAAAACGAGAACCTGAAGACGAGGGCGAAGAAGATGACTAAGTGGAATAACCTATTTTGAAAAATTCCTATTGTGATTTGACTGTTTTTACCCGTAACCCCTCCCCCCAAGTCCTGCCCCCCGAAACTTATTTTTTTCTGATTGTAACGTTGCTGTGGGAACGAGAGGGGAAAAGTGTACTGGGGGTTGTGGGGGGAGGGAGGGCGGGAGGGGGTGGAATAAAGTACTATTTTTACTGCCACTCTTTATTTCCCCCCCCTACTTTTTCTTTGTGTCTGGTTTTGTCCCTGTAAATGCAATAGCTGAGTACACACCTCGAGTGAGCATTTGTTCCTTACTCTCAAAGAGGATGATTTGGAGGTCCCTCCCCTTCCCTTCCCTGCTATCTCCCAAGTCTCTTGAGTCGGTTGGAAGGCCATGGCTGGCCTCAGTTTGGTTTCTCAAAGCCCAGGAGGGGCTGAGTACCAGCCACGTCCTACCTCTTGTTCTGGGTCATGTGATGTCTGCATTTTTGGGTCTGCTAGAGGCATCCAAAACCCTGGTTTGTAAATAGCAACCTAAAGGCGTATTTTGGCACTGTTTGGGGCCATCCCCGTCTCTCATGCCCCTTCCCTCTCCCAGGCAGTGGTGGGCTTTGCTCTCTGAAGACGACGTTGATGTCACTCTTAGGAGCTATGAGCCAGAAAGCTGAGAAAGGCTGGCTCATGGCTTACAAGTTAAGTGTATTTGGCAATTACAATTAAAAGAGAGAAGCAAACCCTCAGACTTCGACCTCTTTAAAAGATTTAAAAGCAAAACTGTCCTATCTTGTTCTGTGATATATTAGAACGCTTTGTTTTACAAAATGACAAGAGAATTCTTCCACATGTACTTCTGTGCTTAGACCATTTTTAGGAACCTAAGCACAGGAGACTTGCTGCATGTCGGCTGGGTTTTTTTTTCATATACCCGAGCACGGAAAAACTTAATGCAAAATTGTATTTTCTTACCTAGTGGAAATCTGAAATGACTGCAAATTCCTAGTGAATGTACAGGTTTGCTTTCATGTCCCTCTTCTGGATTGCTTTAGAAGTGACGTGTTATTTCCTAGCCTGTGTTTCATCTGTATAAAATAACATCTGCACCGGTTTTTCTTCCCCTCAGAAGAGCCAAACTTTGAGTTTTATGTCTGTTTGTCATTGATAAATTTCAATAAATCTTTTTATACAATTTTTTGGGGGATGACTTCTTTGATTCCAGCTATTGACCTTTCTAGATATACTCCAGATAGCCTGCTAGTTGATGGAAGCTTCACTTTTGTGACCTGATAAAATGGTTTTTCTTACAGGATATACCGGCTGACACTACATTTGCATAGTTTGGGTCTCAAAGAAAGACTGGCCTGCTCATTTCATTAAAAACTTAATGTGCGGGCCCTCCCAGGTGGTGCAGCGGGTTAAAGCACTGCACTGAGAAGCTTAAGCCACTTCTGCATGAGTTCGATCCCTGCCTGCCCCGGAGGTCACATGGCGCGGCAGAACTCTCCTGACCCGCCCGCTGCTCCCCTCAGCAGTGTACTTCTCGATCTGCCTGTTCTGCTCCCCGCTCTGTCCCTGGTGAATCCTCTCACCCTCTGCATCTCTGGCCTGTACCCCAGTTCTGTATGACTAAATAAATAAATCTTTAAAAAAAAAAAAAAAATGTGGGAGAGGGAAGCTGCTGAGAACAAATCAAAAAAGACCTGCTTTGGTGTGTTTTTCACTGTTCAGATTGGCTTGAAAATCTTAAAAATCTCAGGAATGTGTAAAACATGTCACAGTTAAGACGTTTACATGGTATTTGTTTTGTGCTTCTTAATGTTACAATTTTTTTTAAGATGTATTTATTTATTTATGCATACAGATCTGGGGTACAGGCCAGAGGTGCAGGGGCACTGAGAGGATTCACCAGAAACAGTGGGGAGCAGAACAGGCCGACTGACAAAGTACACTTCTGAGGGGGGCAGCTGGCGGGTCAGGAGAGGTCTGCCATGCCATGTGGACCACATTTGGCTAGAGATCACCGGGGATTGAACTCATGCTGAAGTGGCTTTAGCTTTTTAGTGCTGTGCTTTAACCCACTATGCCACCAGAGAGGGCCCTTAATGTTATAATTTCTCTCTAAAGTATATGTCTTAAATAATATTGCCCATTAACATCTGATTTGTTTAATTCTAACCAAATGCTTAGATATTGGGGTTATCTCTCACTAAGCACCACAGTGGGCATCCACAGTTAAGACTGTATGTGAATTTCTTAAACAGATGCATAGAGTTTAGTAATTATACCAAAAGTCCGCATTTATAAGCCTCGTGTGCAAGGTCCCATGTCTTCCAGAGGTGACATAACATAGTGACATAACATACTGTGCTGCTTCACACACGTACACATACATTGGTTCTCAGCCATGTGCCCTGAGGCCCACAGAGAGCTTTGGTTCTGGTGGGATTCCTCCCCGGACACCCACCACCCTCTAGGCAATGCCCTGCACCCATTGCCCTTTTCTCTGGAGCAGACAGACGTGCTGATCACAGGTGTGAGGGTGGCAGCAGCCCAAAAACCAGAAGCTGCATTAGGCACAGGGCTGAGGAGAAGCTAGGCAGGTGTGCTGTGTCCACCCAGAGCTGATAAAAATGGAAGTGGGTAAAATCAGACCCTGGCCTAAATCTGCTGACCCTGCCTGACTTGTAGTTGGGCTTTAAAGATCAGGAGACTCACATCAGCATAGAAAGAAATACTGTGAGATAGGCAGAACAGTTGACGATGAGTGGGTTAATGTTGATGACTCTAAGGGAAGAAACCTCAACTCTTAATCATCATAAGTGTTCACATCAATTCTTGAAAGGTCTTGTGCTCATTTTTTTAAAAAATGTATGCATGCAGAACTGGGGTACAGACCAGAGTTGCAGGGGCAGTGAGAGTACTCACCAGAGACAGAGTGGAAAGCAGAACAGCCAGATTGATTAAATACATTGCTGAAGGGAGCAGCAGGTGGATCAGGAGAGGTGTGCCGCACCATGTGGGTCATCTCCCTGGCTGGGATCAAATTTGAACTTAATCATATGACCAAAGAGGAAGTAAGAGTTGACCTTTATTGACCTCTACCTCTTCATAGTAGGTCAGGTACCATGCTTAACCACAACATAAAATTCACCTTAAAGAATCTTCTCACTCACTGTAGGTTAGTGTTGCTGGTGAAGTTATATAAGTGGTCCAGAGAGTGACTTGCCCAAGATCATGGCAGCTAGAAAAACAGCCTTAAACACAAAGCAGTTCCATGTGTACCCAAAGTCAGGCTGCATCTCTGCAGCACCCCCAACTTCCCATGCTACCCTCTGACCTGTGTCAGCCAGTTAGGTTGAGACAGTTCCTGACCTCTGCCTAGCAAACATGGCTCCAGGAAACATGGTTTCACCATTAAGTGAATGCCATCGCACTGACCCTAGATAGGGCAGGGCCCTTAGAAATCACTTAGTCCTACCATCTCCTTGGACAAGGGGGAACCAAAGCTCAAAGGGGTGTGAGGTGTGCCCAAGGTCTCAGCAAGCCAGAGCCAGCCCAGCCTGAAGTCAGCACTCCATTTTCTGGGTTGCCCTGGGGCTCAGGCCATGCTTTAGGGTTTCAGACAGAAGCAGAAGAGACATGGTGTAATGTCTACCTGCACAAAATGGCCAAGCCTGAGCAGCAGGATGTAGGAGACCATGGTGTGGCTCTGTTTTATGTGGCTTTGGAACACACCCTACGTCTAAATAACCATGGACTTGGTTTACTGACTGAAGTTAAGCATCTCTGAAGAGGTTCACATTTCTTGATAAAACCTGCACCTGTAGAGGAAGTAATGGCAATGATTCTAGAATTTGAACTCCTGCTCTGCATCATGCATCCATCCATTGCCTTCCTAATTCTTGCAGCTTCCACAGACAGGGAAACAGCCTCCCTCCAAGTGGTGAGACAACTAGCACCTAGTAAGTCATCTGTGTCTTTGTGACACTGGAGACCTGCTCTTATTCACGTTAACAGTGCTGGGCAGATGAGGGAAGAGGAGATGAACAATCAGTTTGTGTCCATCACTGACTTGCAGAGGCTATTTTTACCCTGGTGCAGAAACTCATTGTTCATGGTGGCAGGATTCCCACTGTGGGTCCCTAATAAACAACAGTGCCAGCTGTGAGTCCCTTGGTCGGGCCCCTTTGGCAGTCAGAAGAGGCCTGGAGATGGCTGGATAAATGAAGGCAGGATTAACCTGACTGAGCCCTTCAAGCAAGAGAGTCTAGAAAGAGTCCAACCTGATATGCATCTGGATTTCTCCCTGAGTCTGGAATTTGAGAAACTGATGCTGAGGCCTCTGGGATTGCCTGTCCAGATTCGGTCCCTCTTGTCACTCCCAAGGACCCACGAGGAAGACTCACATGGATATGGACCACTCCCATGCCAGAATTTCTGATGGGGCAAGATCCTGTGTCTCCCTCTGGCCCCTGGGCGAGCAAGTGACCAGTCCTGGTCATTCAGTATTTCCAAATCACTATAGTGACCAACACAAGGAAGGCCTGAAACCCAAATTAGTCAAGTTGGTTCCTGGAACTTGGAAAATAAGAAACTTGCTGTTGGGAGTACTGGGCCTGGAAGATGGAGGGAGGCCTGGAGTTGGAGACGCAGCCTTCAGAGAGGGCATCTGTGTGATTGCATCTCAGCCTGGCAGAGTCCTGGCTAGTGTGATGAAATAAAGACAGTAGTCACATATATTTAGAACTTACAGTCTGCTAGGCATTGCACATTATTCTGCTATTTCTCCTAATAACCCTTCTGGTAGTCATTGTTATCCCCATTTCAAAGATTGAACACATATACATGCTCAATAAACATTAGCTGCTTAGTGCCAGACACGACAGCAAATGCTGGATATAAATCAACCTAGTGTTTCCCAAATTTCCCTGATAAGAATCCCTAGGGCTTGTCAAGCTGCCAGACCTCACCCCTGGGAATTCAGTTCAGTAGTTTTGCATTGGGGCCCAGAAATTCTGTCTCAACAAGCAACCAGAGGAGTCTCATCATCAGGGACATTTGGGAAATGCTGCAGTAAGCTCAACACCTACAACAGCTGGTGAGGAAGATACAGTCACAGTCACTTAAAGTTGAGGAAAGTGAAGCTCAGAGACGTTACATTATCTGCCCAAGCTAACACAGGCAGCAAGCGACAGAGATTTCAACCTGGGTCTACACAAGCTCTCACCCTTTTGTAGAAAGAGGATAATACCTGTGTCTCATAAGTTGTGAAGTATTGGAAAAGATGGGAAAGATCATTGCAAAATAAAAAGCAAAAACACTAAAAGAACTCCAAATAATCCAGTATTCTCTGTACCAAGAGAAAAAGTCTTTAAAAGCTACTTGACAGCTTTCCCCCTTCCTCTTAACATTTCTATAAAATCCACTCTTTGTATTTTTTTAAAGATTTATTTATTTATACACACAAGAACTAGAGTATAGGTCAGAGGTGTTGGGGGTGAGAGGACTCACCAGAGACAGAGTGGGGAGCAGAAAAGGCAGATATATTGAAATACACTGCTGAGGGGAGCAGTGGGCTGGTCAAGAGAGGTCTGCTGCACCATGTGGGTCAGCTCCCTGACCAAGGATTGAGCTCATGCTGCAGTAGCTGTGGAGAGCTTCATAGTGCTGAGACTTAACCCCTTGAGCCACCAAGGGGGGCGCGGGGGGGGCACTCTTTGTATTAACCACTGTAGTCATGTAAGATTGCAGCTGTAAAAAATGGTTTTACCCCCTCCCCAAAAATAAAAGCCCAGGACCAGATGGATTTACAAATGAATTTTACCAAACGTTCAGAGAAGAACTAGGGCCTATTCTACACAGACTCATCCAAAAAATCAAAAAAGAAGGAAAACTACCACATACTTCCTATGAAGCCAGCATCACACTAATACCAAAACCTAAAAAAGAAAATTTCAGTCCAATCTCCCTAATGAACACCAATGCAAAAATCCTCAACTAAATCTTAGCCAACAGA